GAGAATTATCAATCCGCTGCCTCCTGCATGCCTCCAAATGGGGATCAAACCTGAAAATTAGGCATGAGCCCTGCTGTGGAATCAAACTGTGATTTCCTTGTTCATGGGTCAACACTCAACCACTGAGCAACACCGGCCTGGCATATTTGTGCATCTTGTTTGGTTTCATACTAGGTCCCCGAAGCAGGCTGGGCCTGGCCAGTGGTCCATCCACAGATGGTAAAGTTCATGAGGGCTCCATGGAGCTCTATGTGGCTGCATGGGAGGGCCGAGGACTTACTGGCCTAGGAACTCTGGCTCCACGGGCCAGCAGGGCGCTGGGAGGAGGAGGGAGGAGTGTCCTCAGAGCAAGGCCTTTCCAGGATGCTGGGAGTGTCCCTGGCAGAGGGCTCTGATGGACAGTCAGGGGAGAGCACCACCCTCACCAACTCGAAGGAGAACGAAGGACACACTCGAAACTCGTTGATGAAGGATATCATCCCCCTGGGGCCTGAGGAATCTGCCATGGAGGTGGTCTTGAAGAAGATCCGGGAGCTCTCTGATTCGGTGAGGGGAGAGGAGGGAGGGGAGAGTGTGGGTCTCAGTCCCTACTTAGGTGGGGACAAAATAAGACTTCGTGTTTTATTAGTCAGTTTACTAGGTCTTACTGAATAGCTGTGTTCCCTGGTGGCATGGGATAGTTCTCCTGTCCCCTTCTAGTCTGCCACCAGCTCCTGGGATTCCACCCTGTGCCAAGCGATCCCGGTGAGGGTTGGAGAGTCCTGGCGCCCATTTGGTCTATAAAGCTTGTTGCCCTCTTGTCTTCCTGTTGTAAAAGTTAGAAGATCAAGGATCAAATCCTACCATTGCCATGTAGTTGCTATTGACCTTGAAAAAAAGATTCATATTGTAGTTCACCTGACACCTGTATAATTTTTTAACCAGTGTCACCCCAATGTATTCACGAAAAAGGAAAAAATAAAGAGATTTTAGAGCCGCAGTTTCCTCTTTTCCTAACTGGGTAACAGTAGTACTTGCCGCATGGGGACCCTGTGAGGATTCACTGAAGTGACACAATGCCCAGCCTCTCTTGCCTCTCTCTCTGCCTTGGCAGGACCACCGAGACCCCTTCATGGTGGGCGACCTGGGAGTGTTGGCCAGCCGCCACCAGGCCTTCTGCCAGGCCCTGCCAAGGGTCTCGCCCTTCTATGCGGTGAAGTGTAACAGCAGCCCCTGGGTGCTGCGTGTCCTGGCCGCCCTGGGCACCGGCTTCGACTGTGCCAGCCAGGTGAGCTTGGGCCACAGCCAGTTTCCTCATTCATAGGCCTGACGGTTCCTGGAGGAAAAAGGCCAGTTGCCAGGTGTCTCAAAGTGGGGACAGCAGCCCATGAGCAGTGGCTGATGTGTGTGGTGCCCAGTTGTTTGTGAAAGAATAAAGGAATGAACTGGGAGTGGTCCACCCTCCACTGGTCTAGGTGACGAGGGCGGTCAGCCTGAGCTAAGGAGTGGAGGGAACATGTGCTTTAATCCCCAGACCCCGTTCTTTCCTGGCCCAGCCATTTCACTGGAGCCTCAGTTTCTTGGTCTTTAAAATGGGTTCAACTATATATTCCTCAGAGCAGTCTAGAAGCTTAAATAGCACAATATGTGCTCAGTGCTTTGCCAGATGCACAGTAGGGACTCAGTAGGGGACAGCCCCTCATGCCCGTGGTTCCTGTGCCCAAAAAGCAGGGCATTAGGAAGGCAGCCCCTTACTCTGGCTTTGCCAATGGCAGGTGGAGCTGGAGCAGGTACTAGGCCTGGGCGTGGCCCCCTCACGCATCATCTATGCCCACCCCTGCAAGCCCGTCTCCCACCTGCAGTATGCTGCCCGCCATGGGGTGCAGCTCCTGACCTTTGACAGTGAGGATGAGCTGCCAAGGTGGCCCAGCACCACCCTGGGGCCAGGTGAGACCAGCAGGGCTGCAGGCAGGTGGGGACAGGGAGGAAGTTCTGGCAAACTGACTTGGGCCTCAACTAGGAGATGAAGGCTTTTCCGTGGTGACTAGGAGACGCCCAATCAGCAAAGAACAAGCATGTGGGTCGGGTGTCCCAGTGCCCTCCCTGGTGCCCACTCATTTCAAAGATTTCCTGTGTTGCAGAGGCGCTGGCAGAGCCTGGCATTAGGAGTTCTGGAGTCGGCATCCTTGTGGGAAAAGCACTCACATAGGATTCAGGAAGACCAGGGGTCACATTTCTGACTTACTTGTCCCATCTGTGTGTTCTTGGGAAAGTTACTTAACATCTCTGATTCTGTGACAGGAGGTCTGGTCTGCTGAAGGGATGTTTATAATTTTATCCTTTTCCTGCTTTTTCTTGTCCGGGCTGAAGTCTGTAAGAAGTAGTGTAGCCCTAACTGGTTTGCCTCAGTGGATAGAGTGTCAGGTCTGTGCACTGAAGGGTCCTGGGTTAGATTCATGTCAAGGGCAGGCTTGATCTCCAGTAAGGGTCATACAGGAGCCAGCCGATCAATGCTTCTCTCTCATTATTGATGTTTCTATCTCTCTCTCCCTCTCCCCTCCTTTCTGAAATCAATAAAAATATATTTTAAAAAATTAAAAAAGTAGTGTGTTCCCTCCCTGGACCTCCATGGCTGGACAGTCCAGAGGACCAAGGCAGAGGTGGAGGGAGGCTGGAGGGAGTTTGGGTGGGGGCAGAAAAGCATTCAGGCCTGGGGTTCATGTGTCTAAGAATGCCTGTCACCCTCACACCCCCTCCCAGGCTGGTCCTTCGACTGTGGACCGAGGACAGCCAGAGCCTCATCCCCATGAGCGCCAAGTTTGGGGCCAGCCTGGAGCTGTGTGGACACTTGCTCAAGTCCGCCCGAGACCTAGGCCTGGCTGTGGTGGGAGCCAGGTAAGAGCACCGAGTTTCTCTCTTGTGAGGCAGGGCTCCTGGTCCCCACGCCTGTCTACAGCCTCTGACTCCCTGGGTGCCCTCGGGTCAGCGTGGCCCCTCTGGGCCTCTGGTGGCTCCCTGTGGTCCTCAGAAGAGGAGGTGGGTGTCAGCTGCTGGGAGGGTGGGGCAGGCAAGGCACTGGCCTTGGATGCAAAATTTAACGGGGTGCCGAAAACTTTGTACTGAAGATAAATAATGTTTTAATACAGTTTTTAAAAAAAATTAATGCAGAAAAAATCCATGATGAGAGAATATGAAATTTTAAATCAAGATAGGATTGTCATATCTGCTTTTTCTTTTTCCTATGGGTCCAACTACTCTTAACTAATCTTGTCTTTAAAGTTTTTGTATTTTATTCATCATGGATATTTTTGCATCAGCAGGTTTGATCTCTTGATGGGGTGTGTATAGGAGGCAACCAATTGAGGTCTCTCTCTCTCTCTCTCTCTCTCTCACTCGCTCTTCCTCTCTCTATAATATATACAGACGAGAGTCCCGGTGCACAAAATTTGTGCAGTAGCGGGTGTGTCCCTCAGCACAACCTGCACCCTCTCCAATCTGGGACCCCTCGGGGGATGTCTGACTGCCTGTGGGATCAGGCCTAAACTGGCAGTCAGACATCCCTCTCAGGGTCCCAGTGGCTCCCAACCGCTTGCCTGCTTGCCTGCCTGATCACTCCCTAACCACTCCCCTGCCAGCCTGATCGATGCCTAACTGCTCCCCTGCTGGCCCAATCGCTCACAACTGCCCTCCCCTGCCGGCCCGGTGTCCCCCAACTGCACCCCCCTGCCAGTCTGGTTGTCCCCAATTTCTCTTCCCTGCCGACCTGGTCACCCCCAACTGTCCTCCCTTGCTGGCCCAGTCTCCCCCAACTGCACCCCCCTGCCGGCCTCTTGTGTTGGCCATCATGTGACCACATGAGGTGGCCATCTTGTTCGAGGGTGTGATAGTCAATTTTCATATTACCTCTTTATTATATAGGATAGTGCATGAAGGTTACTATGTTGATTGCTCAGAGCTTTGGTGCGCCCTTGAATGTTGCACCTGAGGAGTGTCCTCCCTCACCTCACCCCACCTGCCCCTGATTGGTTCCTCTGCGACCCCTGGCGGATGGTTTGAGATTTGAGGTTCAGATCACATGCATTCCAAGGAGGAGAAGAAGAGGAGCCCCTGCCACGAGGCTTTGGGAGGGGTTGCTAAGAGAGGTGACTGCCCCACAACCACGAGAGCCCAGCTCACGGACTGTCATGTGGTGTGTGTCTCTGGGGTCCCCATCTGCACAGCCAAGGCTGTGGCTCCTGTGGGTGCCCACGAGCTCCATGTAGTCATGCCTGTCCCCATGTCTGTGTCCATGCTGGTTCACATTGTGCCTGTGTGGCTGTTTCCGAATGTGTACCTCCTCCTGCTGACCCTTGCGTTTCCTCGTGTGTTTCTGCACCTGTCACTCCACCTGTGCTCAGCTTCCACGTGGGCTCGGGCTGCCAGAATCCCCACAGCTTCCCACAGGCCATCGCCGACTGCCGGCGCGTGTTCGAGATGGGCCGTGGGGTCGGGCATGACATGAGCATCCTGGACATTGGAGGGGGCTTCCCCGGAGTTGAGGGCTCTGAGCCGGAGTTTGAGGAGGTAAGACAGGAGGAGGAGAGGGCGTCTGGGGGCCCCAGCCTGGGTTTATTGCACAGAGTGTGTGTTTGTGTACAGGGAGCTTTTGAAACTCAGTCCTGTGCCTGCATATAGTTGAGCTTTATGTTGGTTGAGAGGTCTCTGACTCTACATGCATGGCATGTGCGCATATACAAGTGTGTGTGTGTGTGTGTGTGTGTG